AAATGGACCCGTCTGAGTAAGCAAAAAATGGTGACTGTATGCTTGTGGTGGTCCAGTGAGTCCGGTCTTACCTGTGATACTACAGAGCAGTCGTAAGGTTGGGGTGTCCCGTCCCAAACTGTGGAGGACTGGGTCAGAGTTACCTTTCGGGACCGGGATCGTCACGGTTATGGGTTTATGAAACTTCCTTCGACGGGGCTCCAGAGTGACGATGGGGCTGAAGCTGGACTTGTTCCCAAGAGTCCTTCTGACAATATCCAAACTCACTGGCTGGGCCTTGGATAAGAGACACTTGCAATCAACGTTTTTTGTTTTTTTTCTCAGGGACTGAAACACAAACCCTGGAATCTGTAGATGATTCACTACATAGCTTGTTTTGTAAGGACAAAATACACTTGCCCATTCAGGTACAGCGGTATATTGACTTAAAGGCCTGATTCATTCCATGACCAGGATTGTATAATATCAAAAATTAATTCCTCTCATTGAAATAAAATGGCATGCCATTAGTCCGTTCCAGTCCCACACCCCAAAACCATGTTCAATTCTACTTGATACTAGAGGAGTTCAGGGCTGGTGTGTCTTTGGTACAGGTCCCATTTTTGTCAGCTGAAGAAGCAGACAAAATCAACCTATCAATAGCCTGGGAATTCTTCAAGTACTTGGCAACAAAGAGGTCCAGTCACTGTTTACTGTCCAGGTCTAAGAACCAAAAAATCAAGAGCAGAAGCACCTGACTTTGGTCACACCTGGGTTGCCAAAACACTCAAGAAGGTGCACTGGAGGCTGCATGGGCCACCACGCTACCACTCTCCAACCCAGAGTCCTCTGAAGCAACATATTTTCATGCACCATGCGGGATGTCTCACACATGTGAAGCTCCAAAGCAATGTCATTTACCTGCAGGCCCACCCTGATCCTTTTGGTTAGGGCCCCCTCAGGAAAAACAGCTTGCACTTGGGGTACAACCGTGCTGTTCAGGACGCCTCCTTCGGGACCAATCAAAATACTGTCTTGCCTAACACGTGACACCACAGCAAAGTATTGTGGGAGATCCCTGGTGATGATGCGGCAAATGCGCTTCTTCTGGAGCTCCTCCTGAGAGTCCAGTTCTAGGGGAGGGGAAAACAGAAATGTTGGTATGCCGCCTATATCAGTCTTTGGAGTATATCGTTGCTGTCCTGTCAGAAACACGTTTGTCCATTTTTGTCATTTTAAAAATGTTTACGTGAATGGAATGCACGAAACGTTCTCGGCCCATTGACGTTTTAAAAAAAAAAAATGTAGGAATGAGAATAAGAAATGCGAAAACTGGACATGCGTGTTTTTCACAGGACAGTGACGATATTTAGATGCTGAGCAAGAAGACATTGCGGAGGCTGACCTTCATCCATGCTGTTAAGGATCTGGTTGAGTTCTTCTTGGGTGTGCTCACAATGATGCTCCTTCCAGCTCTCGCCCGTTTCACTCCTCAAGATAACAAGCTCACGCTCGCCCCCACGCAGAGCAGCAAAGTGGGGCACCTCCACAATTACAGGACTGGATGGAGAAACAGAACGTTTTTAGAGATGCTCGCCAGGCCAGATCAAACACGTACACTAGCCACGAGAAGTTGAGGATCCTGGACTTTCGGGTGAAATGTCACTATTCCCTAAAGTGGGAAACTATACAATAAGCAAGAACGCATTATTTTGTATGCAGACTGGGGAGGTGGAGCTTACTGTGCCATTGACGTTCCAATACGCAGCATAAAGTGAGAAAAGACACGCATACAATATTTGGCCTTGGATGCAAAGTTTCATCCAATTTCTGAGAACTAACATTGGACAGAATTTCGGAGAAAGTGCAACCCCCGCGAAAAGAGACGGCGTCAGAGTCCTTACCCAAGAAGCTGGCCTCCAAACGGTGCAACCTCAATAAACCTGCTGGCTCGACCCTCGCCTTCAACAATGGGGGGCATGCTGGCCAGGCGGTGCCTTTTCACCAGCCGGCAGGTCACTCGTGTGGGGGCGCTGCACTTCCCAGGCGGGATGATGATGCGCAGACCATTGTGGCGGCAGCCCCGCATGGATCCACCCCTTGCATCCACCATGAAGCTAACCAGGAAGCTGAGGAAGAGGAGAGCAGATGCTTTCAGGCTTCAAATTCAACCTAGCATATTGGACCTCTTTGACTGACTTGCAGGGAATTTAGACACTCGGGCTGTACATGAAAGGACACATTGTTACATGCATCAGCTGCCAGTGAGATATGCTAACCATCCATCTCACCGTCATAGGCTTAAGAAAACAGAGTTCAAAAGAGAGACACCCAATGTAACAACAATCGTATGACAGTCAACGTGAGGTTACAGGATGTGGATGAAAAGAATGTCCTCAGAGAAAGTCAGAGATGAAGTTCAAAAGATGTTGCATTGGTGCAGGTGAAACTTTGGACGAAATCAAACTTTGGACTAAATCATTATTTATAACTTATTAGGCCACACACATGCTGGCCCAGGCATGAGAGATCAAATTGAGGTGAATCTGGCCCCTGAAATCACACTGCTGGCCTCGATCTTAAGGTGGATACGTACTTTACGCAACCATAAAAAAAATTGTATTCCTACATTTAAAAATAGAAATCTGTATTTAAAGCTCCCGTTTGTCGAAACTGGGCTACTTTTGTCACCTCTGCCGAACATACAAGGTGGGACAATCAAGATGCGAAACGTGTCCTACAACATTGTACAAACCTCTGTCGTCTATTCCTTCTCCCTCGGTCCATAACTCCAAAAGGGCGTAACTCTGGTCTCGTAAGGAAGCAGGGTTTTCAGTCCTGATCAAGTTGATCCGCTCCTCAGTGAATTCCAGTTTTCGTGCCAGCTCTGAGCCAAATGAAATAAAAATGAAGTGAGCGGCATCGAGGACAGAGAAAAGCAGCCGCGACTTACCTTCCCAGCTGAAGCCCAGGCGGTCAGCTATTGTCAACAAAGTTTGCTTTCTGCTCTGCGCTCCACCCTGTGCGTCTGTTGTGAATAGCACAGAACGGGTTTATTCAATTGAATCAGACGAATCAGAAAAGGTTTTAAGGCGGGAAAAAAACCTATTACTCCAGTACCTTTCACACAGAAAAGGGAGACAGGCCAATTTTTAAGGGGCTCTTGTTTCAAGATCTGAACGCAGGTTTCAGTAATTTCCAGAAGTGGCAAAAATACTGAAACTCTGTCCCTTAAAGTGTGCCTCCGTCTGCCCATTTCAAGGTATAGATGTAGGGGGGAAACATTCAGTAATTTCCAGAAGTGGCAAAAATACTGAAACTGTCCTTTAAAGTGTGCCTCCGTCGGCCCATTTCAAGGTATAGATGTAGGGGGGAAACAGCAATATTTTAAAGTCTGATAAATATCAGGTGTTCCCATTTTTGTGACTAGTCTTGTATCTGCCAAAACAATCCCCCTGGTTAATTGAAATGCCCGGTGCCATTTTTGGAACGAATGTGACGTCAAGTCGTTGGACTGGGCCGTCCCTTTTGCACCCACCAGGTGCTATTGAGTGATATGCCAGATCGCTTGCCCATGAATGTAAATCTGTCTTCTTTTTTTTTTCTTTTCCGTGTTCGGTGATCCTTATAAGCTGTCGTCGAGAAGAAAAATCCAATGCCAGGCAGGCCGCAAACAAGCGCATCATCGTCATCCAACAGCAACGGTTAGATGACTGTGAACGTGGCATAAGCTGTCGTCGAGAAGAAAAATCCAATGCCAGGCAGGCCGCAAACAAGCGCATATCCAACAGCAACGGTTAGATGACTGTGAACGTGGTATCCAGACTCGATTATTTATGTATTTATTTAAAGAGAAATGACACAACATGAGCTCCATCAAAGACAGGCCTTAGCATGCGGTGGCTGATTATTTATGATGCGCTGCAGCACCGGCCTTGATCGTCAGTGATGGATTGACGGACCTTGCGTCAGAATTGACTCTGGAAAATTGCGCCAATGACTCAAATTTGACGGCTTTCAAAGGCGCTACGTCACGGCTCCGCCCTCTGCAGGCAAGGATGGCTGCACACATTAGCTGTCATGACAACTCGACAAAATAGTTTCCGTGAGCCATTATAATCCAACCAGTGTAATCAAAAACGCATTTGGAACCAGTTTTTCTTGATAAACCGTACATATTTTTTCTCCTGACCACCACAGGCACACGTTAAGTAGCGGAACAGATTCAGTTCTTGGCTGAGTTTTGCCACATCTTGATAACTTTGCTGTTCAGTAGCTGTGTGAAAGGCACAGGCTGAGAAAGGACGGCTTCAACAGGTGGCATACCGTGACTTGGAACTGAATTGCCGGGGATTTGCTGCACGTGTGTCTCAACAGCGTCGCTGGTCCGCCGCCTAATGGAAACGACATTTCCAGAGGGCAGGGAGTGAAAATCGGTGAACGCGTCCCTTTCGATTACAGATGGATCGAGAAGACCGCTCTCGTCCTCGGAGTTGTCGTCGTCACTTTCTTTCGTTGTCTCGGCCAGTCTTTTCACAAGCTTTGCGGCCTCGTCGCTGATCTCTTCGAAAGATCCGTCGGAGTGCTTGCGTGCCTTGCTTCTCTCTTTGCTGGCTGTTGATGATTGAGAAGATTGGCCACCTTTACCTTTGATGGGCAATCTTGACTGGAAGGCTTTTGGTTTGGTCTCTCCTGTGTTAGTCATTGGCCTGGTCGAGACCCCCTCAGAGAAGCTCTTGGTGGATGTCTTAGCCTTGACATCCACACAAGAGCCTTCAGACTTTCTCCGTGGACCCCTGTTTGTGGGCCCTCTGTGTTTTTTGCCTTCGCTGGGTTTTGCCAAAGAGTCTGGTTTGAGAGGCTTAGATTTGATGGGAATTCGTGATTTTGATACAGCGACAGGAGCGGTTTTATTTTTAACTTGATGAGTTGGCTTGGATTGGCTTTTGAGGGGAACGGTATCAGACGTGCTTTTCTGAGACAGTTGGGTCAAATTGGGGGGCTGTATCACTGACTTTGATTCATCTGGAGAAGAATCGGATGACTCTCTTCCCTGCTCAGAGTATATAGATCTCGTAACTGTGGTTTCTGCTGTCTCCACATTCATGATCATTTGATCAGCGGAGCTTGCGTCTAAACCGGAGGATTCTCTATTTGTACTGTGATCTATTTTAGCCTCAAGGCTTTCTAGGTCTTGTTGATCTTTGGCGGCAGGTTTGGCTGAAGCTGAAAGGCCCATTTTGGGGATTTTTGATTTGGCGGATGCCTGATCAACCTCAGTTGCCAACTGAAGCTGCGCATCAACTGTTTCTTCAGACTGGTCCTTGATCTTGACCTCTAGTTTGAGATTGAGGCCAACTTCCTGCTGGGTTGCCGATGTCTTGCATTCTTGCCCGCTGTTTTCTAATATGGACGCCTCGAGCGGATGTTCACCGATTTGGAAAAAAGCAAAGCCACCCCCGTCTTCCTCACAGCTCCTTTTGGTCATATCAATTGCACCGCTTCGGGTCATTTCAAACAGCTTCCCTTCTTGGAAGAGAAAAGGGTTGGGTTCACTTGTCGGTGTGCTCTCCTCAGTTGGCGTTTTACCCGGTGTGGTGTCTGGTGTGCCCGGCATAGACTGAGAGTCCACCACCAGATTGAGTATCTTCTCTTCCTCGATTTTGAGACGAGCATCAAAAGCGTCATCGTTGTCCAGCATGGCAGACCACGAGTACGCTGCGTCCACCTTGGCAGTGACACCTTTGGACTCGGTTCGGGGATGATCACGTTCAACCTCTTCTGTATCATCATAGATACACAACTCTGCTTTAAACGTTTCCTTCGGTTGGCTCGGTGCATCACGTCCAACCTCCGGTGCTGCTTTGACTTCATCTGTTACGTTGCCAGCTGGTGCATAGGTCGGAAATTGGGGAACGCTTAAGCCTGGCACAATTTCCCTTGACTTCCGTAAACTGTCCTCCTTTTGCTCATCAGTTCTGTTTTCTGTGTTCAATGTTGCCACCGTTTTGGAAGGTCTGTTTGGAGCAGCAACAACAGGTGGCGGAACTGTTGGTTGCGGCGCTGTTTTCAGATTGATGTTGTAGGTTTCCTCTTGGCTGATACTAGCTCTTTTGTTGTGGGATCCATCATTCACACCTGCTGAAAAAGAAGAGGGAACTTTAATATGGGAGTTAGAGAGAAGAGGTAACCCTGCATCCTCAGTGAGTCTTTTCACCCCAAATTTACATTCTGTGTCCCTTGGGAACTCTAAGTCCCCCTCCATCTCATCAACCGATTTCTTTCTAGCTGTAACTGTTTTGTGAGCTTGACTGCTGTCTGATGTATCCTCCTCCTCTGGGTCTTCGTAGATGACTGCTGGTTTGAATGGGAAAGAGAGGGATGAATGGTCAGGATGTTTGGGATTAAAGTCGTAACTTACCTCATCAGAACTAGGGGTGTCGGGGGAGAGAGGACTCTTACCCGAACTTGTCAGCTGTGATGTCTGCTCACAACTGTCATCATCAGCACTACCCTCAAGGTCTCGGAAATGCCTACCATGCAACGCATCTTTGATCGACGCTTCATTAGAGGACTCTGGATGGATTCGGGATTGACTTGGATGATCTACCATGAATGGGAATGATGGATGACTGTGCTGGTCAACAGGGCTACTCTCTAAGGAGTCATGAGGAGGGGATTCCTTGGTAGGGCTGGGTTCAATGGAATCTGGGGACTTAATGGAGGAGTTGTCATCCAAAACGGGACTACCTTCGAGCGAGTCTCTGTGGCTTATTGTCAAAGAGTTGTCAGCTAATGGACTGAGAGGATCGGAATCTTGCTTTATAAGCAACTCCAAGCTTCCGTGGCACTTATAAAAGGGTTTCGGAGTTTCAGAAGAAGCTAGAGGCAATGAGAGCTGAAAATCAGGGCCGCTGCCGTCCATATGTTGCTCGACGGTATTCAAAACAGTCTTTTGTGTGCCGGTACTCCTTGAATCAGATGTGGACTCACTTGGTGCGCAGTCATCTGCAGCCTCGCTGAAAGGCACACCCAAGGTCAAATCAGTAGACATTTGGTCACCAGGGCCTGTTGTTTGACTTGGGATGCCAGTCGTTTCTGTGTCTTTACTTCCTTTTTCAAACACCGCAGTGGTTTTTGCCACTACTTGCGGTGTTTGTTCATTTTTGGGTGAAAGACCCAAACTTTCAGGGCTAGTTCCAGGGGTGGCCAGACCCTCATGTTTGTAACTGTCCTCAGAACTCAGATGAGGCGTTCCAGAACTGGCACTTGTCGAGTCTGCAGGGACTCCTTCCTCGTGGGAGTTCTCCTCGTTGTCACCTTTTCCAAAGTCACTCATTTTGGTTATCGCTGACTCTGCGCTGCTCTTTTTTTCCGCCCTGCTGAGTGGACAAATCTTAGAATCAAGAGATACTTCTTGTTCTTTGCGCACAGATTCCGACTTTGGGGTGTCTTCCAATCTTGGCACCCTTGATGTTTTAGGCTTATATGACCCCGATTCTCTCTGGGAGGGCTCTTTTTGAAACACTTGCATCAACTCTTTAACCGAGACACTGTCCTCATGTTTTTCTGATCCCGCTGCAGGCGTTGCTCTACGTGGATGGATTTCTTTGACTTTTGGAGGCAGTTTTGCACTAACAGGCAATTGTGAAGGCTTCATTCCTTTTCTCGTTTGTTCTTCCTCTACTTTCTGTTGCAAGGCTTTGACTTTGTCTTTGATTGAGCCAATGGGAGTCTCTTCCACAAGCGGGGACACAGATTGTGACGTAACAGAGACCGCGGAGTTACCAGCTTGTCGATGATCTTTCCCGACATCCCCAGAACGTGTTTGTACTTTGGTTGAAGGTGTTGACTTTTTTTGGGGTGAGTCAAGGAGGTATTCTTTAGGATCACTGCCGTCTTTTGTTGCTCTTGGAGTCTCTCTGTTAACCTTAGGTGCATAGAAGACAGGCTCTGGGTTTTCCAAAGCTGCCTTCATTTGGGCCTCCTCTATCTCACTGCCCGAGAGGAGAACCCACTCCTCAGCCTCTCTGCTTTTTTCTGTTGCTTCATCATACGCTCCGCTACTTAGTATTTTACTAACTTTCTCAAGGTCCTCTTTAACTTTCTCGAGGTCCTTCTCCATTATTTCTAAGGGGACCCTCGAAACATTGTGTCCTCCTTTCTCAGAACCGCACCCATCCAAAGAAGGGGATTTCTTTGAGGGATCGGCTGTCAAAATGGCCGTCATTTTGATCAAATCTTTTTTCATCTCCGACACGTCTGATAGGAGGTCTGGTTCCCGAATCAGCTCGGATTTCGGGACTGACGTTGGCGTCTCTTCATCTTCCGTGTGGTGAACAAACAAGTAAGGAGTAAAAAAATAATGAAAAATTCAAATGAAAGGAGACAAACATTTGAGAATGTGGTCAGGCCAAAATGTGTCAGAGGTACACAGTTTACAACCTTCATCATTTAACATCTGATCTTCGGGGGATGCGTGCATAAAAAAGTTTCAAAGAACAAAAGACCCCCCCCCCCCCCAAATAAATAAATACAGTCAAACCTCGGTTTTCAAACATCTTGGTTCTCGACCAATTCGGTTTTCGACCAAATATTTCGAGTTTTTTATGCCTCGGATGACGAACAAATTTCGGTTCTCGAACAAACTGAGCGCACTTGAATGCACTAATTGACTCCTCTCGCCTTCCTTACACGAGGAAGTGACGCTTCCTCGGTTAGACGAGCAAGTGACGCTTCCTTGTGTTGCTTTCCATTGTGAGCAGACATGTTCAATAAACATTTTTATTTTAAAAAGAGCGTGGTTTCGGTTTTCGAACAATTCGGTTTTCGAACAGCCTCATGGAACGGATTATGGACGAAAACCGAGGTTTGACTGTACATAAAATGAATAAGCAAATGATGTTGAATGATGTGGATGCCAGCATGATGAAAGGTGCAGGAGTGGTATGCTGATACAAAGTGAAAGTGCAGTTAAAAAGAAAATAAAAGCACGATTATATTAAAAAGAATGTGTTCCATTTACACAAGATGAAGGTGAAGGCAGCAAGACCCACAAAAAAAGCAGCCGGTGAATTTCACAGATGTGTACATGCTATGATACGGTCAGGGCTTACATCTCTCTTGTGTTGTGTTGATCTGGGTAAGAAAAATAAATCAAAGGGATCAGTCATTAAAATTCATACACCAGCACTTATGCAATGCTGATAGAAAAGAACGAGTTGTCTCTACCTCTTCATCTTGATCAGAATCAGAATCCTTTTTCCCCAAAACAGCGAAGCAGGAAGAGGGAAAGAGACAAAAAGTGCATTTTTTTTTTCAGCGACTGTAAGGCTTTCGCTCCTGAAATCAAACAAATCAATGCAATCAACAAATGTGAATTGAAACACCTTTCAGGACTGAGGACTGACTCACCTTGCAGTATGACGGCAGCGTGATGTTGAGGTTGCATATGGCGCTGTGGGCGAGTGACCTGTAACTACGGGGTTCCTTCAGAAAACACAAGCGGCCGCACAGCTCCTGGGTGTTGTCTCTGATCTGCAAACAGCCACGAGGGCACCCTCAATATGCTACGCGCGTCTGAATAAGAGAAGAACGAAAAGAACACATACTTTGATGAAAAGTGTGAGTCGGTTCTCCTTGAAGGCAAAAAAGCTGAAGAGATGATGCTGGCCACTTTTGGTGAGGGGAACAAAGTTCCCACAGCAATCTGCATAGATGGGCTTTCCTTCTAGAACCTAAAAAAGGGGAGGTATTCATCAGCGGTGGCAAAAGTACTCACACACAGTACTTCTCTAACCTGAGTAAAAGCAAAAAGTCGTTTGAAAAAGAAATACTCAAGTACAGCCACTTGAACCTACCTCCACATCTCGACTGCGGGCCACCTCCGTGAAGTTCTCTTGCTGTTCCAGCGTCTTGTCAGTTTTGTCGTCGGTCATGCAGAAGCAGCGCAGATGGCCCTCAACGGGGTCGTGGGTTTTGGCGAAGATGACAAACTTAGCCATGTAAGGCACACAGATGATCTCCCGGTACACTTGAGAGGAGAAGTTGACCGATTCCTGGACTTGCCGGCAGTCTATAAGCCAAAACCTAGACACAATGATACAATTATTGAGGTCGGGTGCAGCCTCAATTCTTCAATTCTTCAGGGATCGGGATCGTTTTGAATAGATTTATGACAAATCGGCTACCTCGCAGAAACGTTCGTTGTGAAGGACACACGGTCACTGACAAATGTTAAGGGGGTGGTTCCTGTTATGGCCACCCACTGAGCTGGTGTTGTTCCACCTGAAAAATGGACCCGTCTGAGTAAGCAAAAAATGGTGACCATATGCTTGTGGTGGTCCAGTGAGCCCGGTCTTACCTGTGATACTGCAGAGCAGTCGTAAGGTTGGGGTGTCCCGTCCCAAACTGTGGAGGACTGGGTCAGAGTTACCTTTCGGGACCGGGATCGTCACGGTTATGGGTTTATGAAACTTCCTTCGACGGGGCTCCAGAGTGACGATGGGGCTGAAGCTGGACTTGTTCCCAAGAGTCCTTCTGACAATATCCAAACTCACTGGCTGGGCCTTGGATAAGAGACACTTGCAATCAACGTTTTTTGTTTTTTTTCTCAGGGACTGAAACACAAACCCTGGAATCTGTAGATGATTCACTACATATCTTGTTATGTAAGGACAAAATACACTTTCCCATTCAGGTACAGCGGTATATTGACTTAAAGGCCTGATTCATTCCATGACCAGGATTGTATAATATCAAAAATTAATTCCTCTCATTGAAATAAAATGGCATGCCATTAGTCCGTTCCAGTCCCACACCCCAAAACCATGTTCAATTCTACTTGATACTAGAGGAGTTCAGGGCTGGTGTGTCTTTGGTACAGGTCCCATTTTTGTCAGCTGAAGAAGCAGACAAAATCAACCTATCAATAGCCTGGGAATTCTTCAAGTACTTGGCAACAAAGAGGTCCAGTCACTGTTTACTGTCCAGGTCTAAGAACCAAAAAATCAAGA